AAAGGAATTTATTAGAGCTCTTGATTATGCAGAATATCTTGAAAAGGAATTGATACGATTTCAAGATTCAGCTTGAAGCTGTTTTTTATATTTTCGTAAATTTTCCATTCTAGCTTGCACATCACTTCCTGGTATTGATAAGATAGAATGATTTATAGTTTTTGATTCTGATTTTCTGCTAGTCTTTTTTGTCGCTAGTTTGCTCAAAGAAATTACTTGCTCAGGATTTCTGGCACTTGATAAGCTATGTATAGGCAAGATTTCTGGTTGAGGTATTAAGATAGATGAATTCATAGATATTATTTCTATTTCAGGTGGTTGAGGATATATCCGGCTATTTACAATATCATCATATCTTTCACTACCAATTTTATATTAGCACATATAATGCATTTTCTATTTGGTATCTGTTTTGCATAAGCATCACTTATTTTTTCGATTGCTTCAGGAGTTATTGCAATTTGAATCTTATATGTTTTTACTATTTTATACTATATTGATATACTGCTAATTATAAAAAAAGTTGATTAATGATCATCACTATATGACCTGCACTATGTTTGTAATAATACTTGCGTTTGACACCCTAACAAGTCATGTGACTTCTGCCTTTAGGTGTCCCGTACCATAATATTGGAACAATTTTATCATTGGTATGAGTTGGTATATTAGTGCTAATTTTTTCAACTTTGTTCATAATTTTTCTGCGTGCAAAATATTGACTAAGATTTTTGCTAGTTTTACTAACTGCAGAGATATTATTATTGCAAAGCAATAACCCTTCGGGTCTAGACTTTGATATATTTTTTTCACTATTTCCACCAACCACAGATATCGAAATATCCTCTGATTTTAGACGCTCAAGCTCACTGACCTTAGAATCTAATTCAATCTTTATATTCACCAATTTAGCTTTGAGGGACATTATCTCAGAATCTTTTTTTAATGAGTATTTTTGAGTTAAAGATAATTCTTCTTCCAATGACTTGATTCTAGATTGGAATGAATTCGCTTCTTCTAATTTACTATAATACTTGGCTTTATATTCAGTAAGGTTGGTATTTTTGCTTTTTAACTCTTTAATTTCTTCTTTAAGTTGTTTTTTAATCAAGTCATTTTGATTTTTGTCATTAATGTACTGATTTAATTTTTTCTGAAGATGTAAAATCTT